CACACTCTGCTTGCCTCTTTTGATCTCAAGAGAGTGTTAACTACGGCTACTCACAAATTAGGCAACCAACTGGACCTTATTTACATACGACACTGCTACACTGATCATGTACTGGTTACTCCACTGCACACCTCACTTCCTCCTCACTCTTAAATAGGTCCTTCAAGATATCTTGGAGAGGTGAGGTGTCCAAGTCACAACATCTAACTACTGTGGTGCCTCAGGGCTCAGTTCTTGGACCACTTCTCTTCAGTCAGTACGTTTACATGGACAACAATACTCCGATTTTAATACGATTAAGACAATACTCTGATTAAGAATCTACCATGTAAACAGAGATTTTTGATTACCGTAATCCGGCTAAAGTCATAATCGAATTAAGACATGTGGAGTATTCCTATTTTAGCCGCATTACTGAAGAGCAGAATAGACATGTAAACACCTTAATCACATTATTACCATCGTGTAGGACTTTTCGCCGCATTTTGCGACAGGATACACACATGGCAGTGCTCAACCGTTTGACGGCAAACAAAATAGACATGTACACACCTTAATAACATTATTACCGTGGTGTAGGACTTTTCGCCGCATTTTGCGACAGGATACACACATGGCAGTGGTCAACCGTTTAACGGCAAATAAAAGAGCTTCAACACCACCATCGTCTGAATGCATGTACAAATAATTACCTAAATCCATCTTCAAGAATCGGCTAAAAACATATCTCTTCCATCTTTATTTGACCCTCTAACTCTAGCACTCTCTATTCTAATTCTATTCTTTATATATATAAAAAAAACTACCCCTTGCTTCTCTAATTTTTTTGCATTCTATCTAGGCCTATTTGTTTTCTTTTTTTATTATACAATTATAATTCTGACTTTCTGACTTCTGATTAACAAAAGCAAAAAAAGGCCTCTAACACTAGCTTGCTCTATCTGTTTTCTTTTAATTTATTATATGATTAAAAAAAACCTTGCTACGTGTACTGCATTAAGCTAACTGAGACTTGTTATAGCACTTGCATATCATTGCTCTTTTGTTGATTTTGATTGCTTCCATTGTCCTCATTTGTAAGTCGCTTTGGATAAAATGTCCAAATGTCTAAATGTATATGTAAATGAATGAACGTATATTCAAGTTAAACTAAACTGAACCAGAGTAAACTGCCAAAAGAGAATCGTCATTGCATCAATCATTATCAGCTTCAAAGTAAGAGAGCACATATAGACTCACAAATGCATCTAACCTTGAATGTCAATTACATTTCACAACACAATTGGCTGCTTTTGTTGCTTTCCATCCGGGTGAACACAGAAAACGTGCACAGACAATTCACACAGGACGTGTTCTTACTGAACTTCTGCATGCATTCTTTCATCTGTTTGGTTGCCTCTATGTTTTCAGCATCTTGCGCCATGAGCCATTTTTTAATTAGCAAGGAATTCATTTTAGCCAATAAATAAGGCCTACTGGGGGAACTTCACATAAAATAAATAATATTAATGACGAGCAGAGCATGAGCAAATATAATATGAATATATGGCTGCTGAGTGAAGCTGACTTATAAATTACAGCATACGTAACATAACGTAAAAATAAGGAACAACTGCTACACTCAAATTTGTATTTTTTATTTTTTTGATGCTGTTTATGCATTTTATTTAAACAATTCATTTTGATTTAACACCATGTATCAGGTTTGTCATTCAAACATGACTGCATCTTGTTAAATTGACTTGAAATTTTTGCTTTTTGGCTTAACTCGATGTTTTCATTTTGAAATAACATGTTTCAATCAAGTACCTCAAAATATGTTTTACACTTCCCATCATGCTTTGCACAGGACTGGGGAGATATGGGGAGAGAAAACGTTGAAATAAAGTGTTATTTTATGCATTTTTTAGTAAATTGAGATAATAGGGAGACTTTTTCCTGTCTAATGCTCTATTATGTGGGCATTTTAAAAGATTTTCTATTGGTGTATTTTGTGCGAATTACCATTGTGGTGAAGTGTGGAGCAAGTGGTGAAAAAAGTCTAAAATACTTTTTTTTAAAAGCAACTCCAATGGGAGTGCTAGTGATGTACACCACGGTACCATCCTTAAACTGCCAACAACTAACATTGTATGTGTAAAGAAAAGTTATATCTTACTTCTTAATATGTTATTATAACACTTTGGCTGAATTTGCGTGGTTCTACATGATGTAAAAATATTATCTCTACTCAGATATATCATGTAGGATGAACTAAAGCAAACTGAGTAAACTCAACTAAAATTTGACATGTCCTAATAACTTGATTTAATCATGTTCAAATAACATGATACAAACATGTGGAACCACTGTCCATGACTGAATCATGGTCAGCCAAAGAGTCATTTTTTTTTTGTGTAAATTAATATGAAGGAATTTCCCGTATGTATTTTTATTTATTTATTATTATTATTTTTTAAGGTTAAAGGAACTGTCCGAAAAATTAATGGATAAAGTCCAGGTAGAAAATTACCTGTACAATTTGAAGTAGTTTGTGCTCTTTATTAAGACATACAGATAAAACTTCAGAATAACTTTAATAACAACAACAACAACAAAAATAATCTAATGCTTAACAGATCACTGTTTTAAATACATTCAAAAGGATGCTATAATAGTTCAACTACAGATGTGTTCATGTTAATGACTGGTGGGTGGAGAGCAGTGTGATGAATCAAAAACGTTTCGGAGCAAAACGTTTGAAATTTCCAGAAATACAGACGATGAAAAAAAATGTTTCCTGCTAATAGAAATTTTACATGATATGTGCATAGCATATATTTATATATAAAGTATATATTTATGAGGTGGTTCTTTTTAATGAATCAAACACATAAGGCTTCCTTTAATGTTGTTCCTTGGGCTCATGAGACTAGTTATTAAAGTATTTAGCAAAAATGTTTTGTTTTTTTTAATGTCGAAATTATGTCATCATTTGGCAATATGTTTGCATCCATGTTCTTTATAGGAACTGTTAAGGAACCGTGATTGTTTTTTTTTCTTCCCATGTCTAAAAATAACTGACTGGTTGTGGTTGCATTTCTGCTTTAAAGGGGTCCTATTATGCTTTTTTAAAGGATTAGTTCACTTCCAGAATAAAAATTTCCTGATATTTTACTCACCCCCACGTCATCCAAGATTTTCATGTTTTTCTTTCTTCAGTCAAAAAGAAATTAAGGTTTTTGAGGAAAATATTCCATGATTTTTCTCCATATAATGGACTTCAATGGGACCCAACGGGCTGAAGGTCAAATTGCAGTTTCAATACAGCTTCAAAAGGCTCTACACGATCCCAGTCGAGGAATAAGGGTCTTATCTAGCAAAACGATCGGTCAGATGAGCATTTGTTAAGAAGTATATACATTTTTGTGTTTTTTAGAAAAGTGTTTTTAGTTTTGCTAGATACGACCCTTATTCTTCGGCTGGGATCGTGTAGAGCCTTTTGAAGCTGCATTGAAACTGCAATTTGACCTTCAGCCAGTCCCATTGAAGTCCAATATATGGGGAAAATCCTGGAAAGTTTTCCTCAAAAATTTAATTTCTTTGCGACTGAAGGAAGAAAGACACGAACATCTTGGATGACATGGAGATGAGTAAATTATCCAAGTAAATACTCAAATTATCAGGATTTTTTTTTTTTATTATGGAAGTGAACAAATCCTTTAAAGGGGTCATATGATACAATTTCAAGTTTTCCTTTCTCTTTGGAGTGTTACAAGCTCTTAGTGCATAAAGAAGATCTGTAAAGTTGCAAAGACTCTACAATGCCGGCTGTTCTGACTCACAGACTGTAAGTACGTTTTTTATATTTAAAGAATTTGCCACTGACGATTCAAACGCGAGTTTTGAGCAGTGTAGAGTACCGATTGTAGTTTGTCCTTTCTCCGATCACAAATGCAGACATGGTTTAATGTTTACGCAGCACGATGCAATGCAACGCGTAAAAAGACAGTATAAGTCATTATAATCCATAATTATGTCCCCACTAGAGCACACCTCGCTTTTCAGACCGATGAGCTTTGTAAAAATCGACGCGTTTCAGAAAGGCGGGGCATAGAGGAGAAACAATAATGTACAGTATGTGGAAAATAATGTGTGTTTTGAACCTTAAACCGCATAAACACATCTCATTACACTAAATACATAAAATAATGTTCTTTTTAGCAACATCATATGACCCCTTTAAGTCCTGTAGCCTAAACCTCCAGTCCAGCGGGCGGCGCTGTTGTGTAAGCAGAGCTCATCCTCTGTGACTGCTGTCCACAGCGCTCCCTGCTAACCAGTTCTCCTGCAGGTCAATGCCTAGCCGATTGCTGACCACTCTGGTGCATCGTTGTATTTCAGAGTATTGAACCTCCGTCTGGAAATGAGCGGGATGTCCGGGACGAATGTGATTCAAATCACTAATCTGTCGTCGGCGGTGAGCAGTGATCAGATGAGAACTCTGTTCGGCTTCCTGGGGGACATCGACGAGCTGCGACTATACCCGCCTGAGTGAGTCACAACAACAACAACATATACACACAAGCACACACGCTCTCTCTCACTCGCCTGAGAAAGTCACAACAAACCATACATATCGGACACACACATCCCAAACAAACATATCAGACCGCTTCATAGCGTTGACAACACAGCATCAGCATCACACCTTCACACGCACACATTAAACACATAACTACATCCTCACATACGTACACACTGCATCCATACATGTTAAACACACTTGCACAACCCACAACATCACTATAAACACACTATAACACATACTCTTCAAACACACCACACATGAGCATCAAAAACCCTAGGGGTCCACACTTTAAGGATGACACACACACACACACACACACACATATCAAAGGCCTTGACAATGATGATATGACTTGTGTGAACCCTCAGCGATGTTGTAACTTATGTGCTATTTGAAACCATGTATGGGACTTATCATCAGTTATGGGACTTATTGCACCACCATAACCCATTACACACTGCTTACTTACTCCACTTGCATAGATTTAAATATTTGTAGGTACTTGCAGATTTAGTTAGGCCTATGTGTATATCTTTATTATCCTGGAGTGCAACAGTCAGGAATTCCATTCTGTTTCTCCATAGGGGACAATGATTTTGAATGGTAACTTATATAAACCTTTAAAGACAGACCTACTGTGAGCAACAAACTTACTCATGCTGTACAGCAGAATTCCTGGTGAACATCTGCATTACCCATAGAGTGCATTAGTGCCCATTAATAGAATTTCTACCCTGCACATTCCTCAATCACATGCACACAGCACACTTACTACTGGGCTATTGAGGACACATCCCCTACATGCACTATGCATTCCTCTATAACATGCACAGATAATTTCTTGAATCTTGAACTCAAAATGTCCATCTTGGTGAGTATTCAGGTAGGTAGGTAGCTTTTATTGTCATTCAACTGTACATACAGAGTGCACATATGAACGAAATTCCGTTCCACTGGCTCATAAATACTGCACTAAACTAAACACATACCATAAAACCAGTATAAAAATATAGATATAATAAAAATTGTAAGAGTGTTCATTTAAAAGAATATAACACTAAAAGGAATGACAGCAGCATATAAATATTAAATAATGCACACAGTAATTAGCAGCATCTAAAACAAAATTATTGCACTTATTAAGCAGCAGCATATAGTACAATTATTGCACATCGTAAAAAGTACTATTATTTCAATGTCCACATCTAGTACACATAAGACTCACTACAAAAAAGATTCAGTGAAATAAAATGGTTAAGAGGTTATTTTTGAGTTCAGAAGTCTGATAGCTTGTGGAAAAAAGCTATTACAGAACCTTACTGTTCTGCACCGAATGCTGCGAAACCTTTTTCCAGAGGGCAGCAGCGTAAACAGTCCATAATGAGGATGGGTAGGGTCTTTTGCAATGTTTTGAGCACGAGTCAGACAGCGTTTGTGTGCGAGTACCTGGATGGAAGGCAGTGAAGAGCCAATGATCTTTTCCGCTGTCCTCACCACTCTCTGTACAGACCTCCAGTCAGAGGCTTTACAATCCCCAGACCATACAGAGATGCAGCTGGTCAATATGCTCTCTATAATGCCTTTGTAGACAGTACTGAGGATGGGAGAGGGAAGGTGTGCTCTTCTCATCCGACGCAGACAAAAAAGACGCTGCTGTGCTCTCTTCACAAGAGAGGCGGTGTTAACGGTCCATGTCAAGCTATCTGTGATCTGCACCCCCAAAAACTTGATACTACTGACTACTTCCACCGCAGTGTCATTGATGATGAGTGGTGGAAAATTCACATAAATTACATAAATATTACATACAGGACCTTTAAAACTTTCTTGAGCTATTGTGCCACAAAAATATACCATTGTAAAAACAAATACACTGACTGCGCAAACATTTAGGTGAGGAGATTTAAAAAAAAAAAAAAAACTGTCTAAAAATGATCCTCCTGAGTCACCCACACACAATCCCCTCTAGTCACCTTAGGGTGGAATACCCCCTCATTTTTCTGGCTTCCATTCAAGTAAGTTTTGATATTACTTGGGTAAATATATTTGATCTGTGGTATTCAGGTTTAACTAGTAAATACCAAAATGTGTTTATACATTAGCTAGATGGCCAGTAAATCAGATATGAAAAATGTAAGCTAGTTAGCACTATTTCATTGACAATGTATGAGGCTAGGTATCATGTACTAGCTTGCTCAAGCTGCTCTTTCTTGTACCTTCTACTAGCCAGTTTCTGCTATCATACTGTACTGGTCAAAAGTTTGTACGCATTACTATTTTTTAATGTTTTTGAAAGAAATTTCTTATGCTCATCAAGCCTGCATTTGTTTGATCAAAAATACAGAACAAAACAGTGATATTGTGAAGTATTATTATGATTTAATGGGTTTTAATGTATTTTAAAATATAATGTATTTCTGTGATGCAAAGCTGAATTTTCATCAGCCATAACTCCAGTCTTCAGCGTCAAATGATCCTTCAGAAATCATTCTAATATGCTGATATATTATCAATTTTGGAAACAGTTGTGCTGCTTAATATTTTTTTATAACCTGTGATACTGGCAGCAGATATGCGATCAAATTTCGAATTTGACGCTGTAAAAACCATTGTCGATTCTGGCACCCAACATCACAACAAGATGATATTTTAAGCTTCATGTGTAGCCGAATCTGCGCTGGTTTGAATGGGCCGCCTCCAGTTTCCCCTTTGTTTTGCTGCCTCCAGCTAGTGCTGTGACATCGGCTGACCCTAGTTAGCTGTGGTTGGCCTGGCCGTGCGTCACTCAGAAAACAACAGGCCAGTCAGAAGAGAGGCTCATGAATATTAATTAGACAGGCCAAAATCGACCTGTTCTCAGCAGAGCTCCTGAGAAAGGAGCTCTAAAAATATATTGAGATGGTTTTTGGTACTTATACCGCAAATATATATTCTTAAGGACATCAAAACCTAAAATAAAACTCCAGAAAGGTGTAAAATATGGGACCTTTAAAACTTTCTTGAGCTATTGTGCCACAAAAATATACCATTGTAAAAACAAATACACTGACTGCGCAAACATTTAGGTGAGGAGATAAAAAAAAAAAAAAAACTGTCTAAAAATGATCCTCCTGAGTCACCCACACACAATCCCCTCTAGTCACCTTAGGGTGGAATACCCCCTCATTTTTCTGGCTTCCATTCAAGTAAGTTTTGATATTACTTGGGTAAATATATTTGATCTGTGGTATTCAGGTTTAACTAGTAAATACCAAAATGTGTTTATACATTAGCTAGATGGCCAGTAAATCAGATATGAAAAATGTAAGCTAGTTAGCACTATTTCATTGACAATGTATGAGGCTAGGTATCATGTACTAGCTTGCTCAAGCTGCTCTTTCTTGTACCTTCTACTAGCCAGTTTCTGCTATCATACTGTACTGGTCAAAAGTTTGTACGCATTACTATTTTTTTTTCTGAAAGAAATGAATACTTTTATTCAGCAAGGATGTGTTAAATTGATAAAAAGTGATAGTAAAGACTTGCATTATTAGAAAAGAATTCTATTTTTTGAAAATGATGTTATTTAAGTTTTTATCCATTAAAGTGCCCCTATTTTGCCTTTTCGAATATTACCTTTCATGCAGTGTGTCATGTAGCTGTATGTGAACATAAACTATCTGCAAAGTTGTGAAGCCGACAGTGCAAGATAAATAAATTTACTGTCTATCAAGAAAGAAAAAAAAAGAGTCGGCTCGCAATCGCCTAAACGAGTCGTCAGGAATTCGAATCTTATTCTGTTACGGCGCTACGTCACAAAGTAACACATTTGCATAATGTCCGAAGGAGCGTCCGGAGGGCTTGCGGCAACCACATGTGACTACCCCGGGCTGGACTCCGCTTCGTCCACGGTGAAAGCCAATCCGGCGATCCACAGCGCGAAGTTGATGTATTTCCTCAGCGACCAGCACGGATCAGCTCTAGGCATGATGAAGCAGATATCGTCCTCTTTTGGAAGGCTAAACAAAGTAGTTTCGCTTTCACAACGTAACACACAGCGCCTTCAAGACATGGCGGCGGCGGCAACAACAATACTACAGCGAGAAAAAAAGTTACGCCGCCTTTCTTTGCATGAACATTTCGGCGGCGTTATGCAAATCTTCCCAAATCGTGACGTAGACATGTGGGGGTGTGTTAGAACGAGCCTTTTTAGGTAGGCGTGGTTGACTAGGCGTGAAAATTTTCCATCCCTTTGCAACCCTAGTGCCCACACACTTTTTCAGCGGCTTAATTAAAAATAAGTTTAAATAATGCGAATGGATGGGTTCAACAAAAGCATACAATCGATTAACAACCACGGAGCTCACAGCAGGTCTGTCTTTAATGGTTTATCGTTTATTGTTAAAAATAAGTTTCCTTATGAAGAAAATGAATTGAGTTTTTAATTCTGGAATCCAACTGTTGTACTCTATATTATTCTGCAAATAAATCTCCACCAATCAGAGAATTGTGACGTGTCAAAAGAGCACTTAGCCCCCACTGTCAGTTTTCTTACTCTCTCAAACTGCTTTGATATTTGTAGTGGTCGACCGATATGGGATTTTTAATGGCCGATGCCGATATTGAGAAATCAGTCTGGCCGATATAATACATATAATTACAGTAAATGAGAGACATGCAGAAAATTGGTGAAACTAAATGAACATTTATTATGCATAAATATTTATTAAAACCTAAATTTAAAAAATAAACAATTGAGGTAACAATTATTGCAGCCTTTCCTTTTCTTTTGCTGGAAATCTACAAAAAAAATAATAATTATAAAACCTAAACAATTAAAATGTAAACAACAGAGGTAACACTTAAATGAACAAGGTTTAGTGCAGCCTTTCTAACATTTATAATTAATAAACAAATTAATATTCATAAATTAATGTCAAAAATGTGTAATTCCATGTATTTTATGTACAATACATATATAGTTTACCAAGCAACAGGTTGTTTTAATTATAGCATGGGATAGTTGGTTAAAGGGTTAGTTCACCCCAAAATGAAAATTTGCCCACAAATTACTCACCCTCAAGTCATCCTAGGTGTATGTGACTTTCTTTTTTCAGACGAATCCAGTCGGAGTTATATTAAAAATTGTCTTTGATCTTTCAGCTTTTTATTTAACTTCTTTTGGACTGATGCATGCAACACCCGCTGAGTGGCATTAAACAGCTTGAAAGATCAAAGACAATTTTTAATATAACTCCGACTGGATTCGTCTGAAAGAAGAAAGTCATATACACCTAGGATGACTTGAGGGTGAGTAATTTGTGGGCTAATTTTCATTTTTGGGTGAACTAACCCTTTAATAATAAATATATATGTCTCTGATCTGTTTTGTTTTGCTTGTCTGTTTCATTGTAAAAATAATACAAGCCTGGAGGCGTATAATTAAATGCTTGGTTATCAGCATATAGCAGCATTAAATAAGCCCGGAACATATGAAAAGTTATACTACACGCGATATTACGCCAATCATGGGCAATCAAATACAGCAGATATTCCTGAATACACATATAAAGGAATTCAAACTAATTATTATTACTTAACATAGGAGTTCTCGTGTCGACCCAGCTTTCATCCTGGAGTGCACCGGCTTTTGAGTCCACCGGAAAACAGCATCTTGTTTAAAAGTACCCGAGAACAACGCGCATATCTGAGGAAGAGCCAGTTGTGGGATTTTTGATTGTTTGTGAGGTAAACACAGTTTCATTTTTGTTTGAATTCGTTTATATCACATCTGTGTCTCCCACCGGAGCTGCCGCTGGACTGCGGATCTGACGTCTCACGGTACGTTTGAATAAGACTTTGCTGCACGCCGGAGTGTTACTGTATGTAACACAACGTAGCGTCACGTTAGAAAGTAAATGACGATTGCTCATTTTACTGTCTGTCAGGTGCTGGCTTCACATCTGAGTGGCATGTCTTAAAGACAAAGCATAAATGCACAATATGGTGTCATAATCTGTTTTGAAAAACATCGGCCACACGGAAAGACTTATCGGCCGAGGCCGATATTTAAACAATTCCAAATATCAGCGATATATGCAGCGATATATCAGTCGACCACTAGATATTTGTATGCATAATATGCATATTTTGCAATAAACTTAAAATGTAGTGTTTCAGTATGTAAAATTAACATTTAAATCAATATTTTTATATTTCTCCATTGTAATCCATTTATGTCATTCACAATGCTTCATGGGATGTAGTTCTTTCTTACATTAAAGCTGTTACGTCCACATTCTTTTTGACTGATTTTCAAAATACTTTTTTATTTTTTTTATTTTTTTCAAATAAAAGTTTGTAATTTTGTGTTTCACAAAAAATTTTTTTTGTGTTTTTAATTTGTGGCTTATAATTCTTAAAGTAAAAAAAAAAAAAAAACCCTATGGGAAAAATACTTCCGGAACCAAGGCAGCCAAAAAAGTGGGTGGGCACTGTTGCACACTCTCCACCTTATTTTGCGGAAATAAGCTGTTTTCTGTGAATGTGCTTCTGAGACTTCCGCTTCACATTCCGCCGTGGTAGGGAAATAAGGAGAAGAATAACAAAGTGCAGTAAACGGTAAAATTGTTTGTGCTACAACCCAGACAACATATTAAAATAATATGGTAAGAAACACCAGTTTGCAAAAACCAGCAGTTTTGTACAGCTAAAAATAGTGGATGACACCGGAAGTCAGACACATTACATTAACAAATGAAAAATAAGGTGGATACTTGCTTTTGTAGACAATTCATTTTATTGTTTAAAATCTCTAAAAGCACAGGTAGCAGACTTCTGAATAGTGCTAATATTGTAAACTAAAAATGAAATGAAAAATTTTCATTAACTGAAAAAAAAAAAGAACTCTAACCTTAATTGAAAAAACTAAACTAAAAATACATTTTTGTGATTTCAGATTTAATAAAATAAAAATTATCAACTATTGTGGTTTGTGATACACAATATATTGAAAGATTTCCAATTTTATAACATGGTTCATAACATTGACAGTTTTTTTTATGTATTATGAATGAGTTTTATTATTCAGTCAGCTGATTTATTCAAAATCTCTGACTCGCAATCATAATGCTGTTTGAAATATCAGCACAACCTTTATTATCTGTGGCCTCATGCCTACAGCTGATTTTCAGCTTTGCTGATATTTACAGCAAAAACATGTCATTTACTCACCCTCATGTCATTTCAAATGTTGGTAACCAAACAGTTTGGGTTACCATTTATTTCCATTGTATAAACATAACGGAAGTCAAAAGGGAACCGAAACTGTTTGGTAACATTCTTCAAAATATCGTTGTGCGTGTGTATTCCACAGAAGAAGGAAGGTCTTTCAGGTTTTGGAATGACATGAGGTTGACTAAATCAGTGTTTCCCAACCGGGATGCCATCTGTCGAGAGCAGGGGTGCCGTGTAAAAAAATCCTTTTTTAATATTTTTAAATTGCTAAAATGTTCAAAAAAGCATCTATTATATAATATCCATTTTTGATGTCGCCAATAATTAGAGATGCACCGAAATTTCGGCTGCCGAAAATTAGTTC